GGGGAAAAGGGCTATTCTTTTTTCCCCCCATATATTTTATTGATTTTTTAAAAACATAAATCACTTAATAGTTGGTAAACAGTGTGCTTTCTGGGTTTACATTTGTAAAGAAAAATAATTAACAATTGGTTTCTATAATCCATAATCCACATAGTACATTTAGTTGATTTGCCCTTTTCCCCAAAATGTCTTCTTTACAAACCTTGAAATAAATACAGTTCTTATTATTTTGATAAATAACAGTTACATATATGTTTTTCCCCAGTATTCCTAGAAATAATGATCACATCAATATAATATTTCTTTTCTATCTAATCACTCTGCTTGCCTCATCTTTTATCCTGTTACAGTCCTTATTTAGATTTGCTTCTCCCATAAAGTTCAAAGTATTCTTACTGGTTAAGGTTTTCTCAACAGTTAATTACATTTAAAGATTTAAATCCATTTTTCCCATATAAACCATCTCAACACTTTTACATTTCTTAAAGAATAGGTAAAAACAGTAAAGAAAAGGAAAAGAGAGCAAGAATAAAGAAACATAAAAAGTAAAATACTACTTAAAATATATATTCTTCCTAAGCTAATATATATTCATTCCCAAAACTTCTTATTCTTTTTAACCATGATTAAAATATACATTTAATCTTTAAATATTCCATTTAATGTACCTAGTCATCTAATCCTTTAACTCTTAATCAAAACATTGTTTTCTTTTTTATACTTTATAATTTCCCTAAATTCAGACACCTTTAATTATCTAAAACATTTCTTTCATCTAGGCCATTCAGCAGTATTATATTACTTATATCAAGAAATAAAATAAAAAGGGGAAAAAAGCATACAGTATTAAGGAATTCATCTCTTAGAATGACATATATATTCAGAATCTTTTCTATTTCTTTAACCATATTCAAACAAATGTTTCTTTTTTAAATATTCTCTCTTATAGATCCCATCATCTATTTTCTTAATTTTCACTTTGATGTTTTTCCTTTGACCAGTATCTTTCTTGATCAATGTGTTTTGCTGAATCAAAAAGTTTTTCCATATATTCATGACTGTTGCTGTAGGTATAAGAAGTAAATCGAATAAAGTGTCTTTATGTGAGGCCTTTGCCTTTCCATGTTTCTTGAAAATGTTTTTCTCTTTCTCCTTCTTTGCTTCTCTTATCATTTCCTTTCTCTCTGATGTTTTCAACATTTCTACATTCCATTTTATCCAATCTGTTCTTTTGTCTTCAGATTTATTTTGTAGTCTTAAGGGATGAGTTGTTTTTTTCCATTTGTTGTAAATTTTTTCCCACTAGGATTAAATCATGTTTTCTTGCTTTGTTAAGTTCCATCTTTGAGTCTCTATTTTCAATTTTATGTCCACTTATTTGTTTTGTCTGCTCCTTCTCTGTTGTTGTTTCTTGGAAGTTTTTTTTTGTTGTAAAGTTAACTTAGAGATAAATTGATTTGTATTTTCAAAGTTATTTTGGATTTTTTTTAAAATTGGAACTCAGTGTTATTTAAATTAACTGCAGTATACTATCTATCTCCTCCTGAGAGGTATTTATGTTTTCTTGTTGTGTTCTATCTACGTGTCTCTGATCCATGGTGGCCAAATTTGGAGTTTTCCTTCTTATCTGCAAATAGATTTAGAGTCCCGGTTAAATAGATATTTGTAAGCCAAAGAGTTCAAAAAAGTATTTTTTCCTAAAGTTTATAATTCTCTCTTTGTCTGCAACCCAAATTGTTGTCTTTTTCTTTTTTCTTTTTTTGTCACAGCTCTTATTTATTATTAAAGCTTTGAAGGTCACAAACAGAGTTTTGGCAAGTTCTCTATGGAAATCATAGTTGTCATAATCTTCATCCACCACTAGGTGTCAGCATACATTTAATTTTCAATATGAACAATGGTCTTTAAAATGAGAGTCTTAACCATTCAACAATCTTAAATTTGTCCAAAGTTACATTTTAGCTTTCAAGTTCATAAATTTATTTCACTACCATATATTTTGATCCTCCATAGAAATTTTAATTCGCCATTTCCGTTAGTATAAGGATGGCGTGGAAGTCCCCCTCCTTTACTTTCGGAGGTATTTTGCTTCTTGGGGATCTTTTCCAGGAAATTAAGTGCAGAACAGAAAAGGGAAAATCAGATTCCTCACCCAGTTTCAAGCACGCTGTTTACTGTAATGCTGGTTAGTTGTTTTGGGCTCCGGTTGCAAGTAGCTTGGGCTGATCGATGAAATACAGCCTTTCTCCTGTCAGGTTAGAAGGCTTTCCCCAAGACGAACGGAACAACCGCCATCACTCCAGAGTCGCTGGGGCACCCTTCTTTTTTCGTCGCCTCTCCGTGGCAGCTTGGACCCATTAGGGTCTCCAGGCAGGATGAAAGTTGGCTGCGGGGGTGCGGCGGTCCACAAGCCCGCAACCAGTCCACTACCGCACAGGACCAGAAGTCTCTGAAAAGGGCTATTCTTTTTTTTTTTTTAAATAAAAGTTTTATTGGTTTTTTCCATTTTTTACAAAAGCTTAGGACACAACGTGGTGGTCAGAATATCAAATCATTCAAGAACAAAATCATATACATATAGCTCAAATTATTTATAAACAATTTCCTCTCTATAAGGAATAATATTACTTATTAAAATTAATACAATTTTAGATAAAGTTCCATCAAACAAAAATCCTCTATCACCTTGCAATTATGATAATCTATATCCTGTTTTAAGCTTTACTAATTACAATTGTCATATTCCAGTTACATTTCAGTAAGCATCTAATTGGAATTCCAGGTATCCTTAATATTAGATCACTCATTAAAACTAAGTTTTTCCCTATCACATGTAGCTCTTACAACCTATTTTTCATATTTAAAATAACAATATAAATCCAACAAATACAGTTCTATTTTTAAAAATATATTCTATAATTTCATCAATCTACATCTATAAAAAATCTTTTTAAGCCCTTTTATGAAGTTTTATTGAAAGGGCTATTCTAATTAGGAATGTGTCTACTACTTCTGTTCTATAGTGTTGGCTTGTGTGAAATGAGAGTAGAGATGATGAGACATATACTTTCTCATTCGTTTTAGAGAGATACCCATCTTGTATGTATCGTGTAGTCCACAGGTCGGCAACGTGCAGCTCTGGAGCCGCATGTGGTTTTTTGAGCCTTCCCCTGCGGCTCCCAGCCTTCTTTGTCATTTGGAGAGAGAGAGAGAGAGAGAGAGAGAGAGAGAGAGAGAGAGAGAGAGAGAGAGAGTGACACTTATACCTTTCCCTTCTCTCTCGCTCGCTTCGCTCTCTCTCTCTCTCTCTCTCTCTCTCTCTCTCTCTGCGTGTGTGTGTGTGTGCGTGTGTGTGTGTAAAAAAGAGAGTGGCCTCACCCTGTTCAACAAGCTAACAAGCTTATTGGACGGGGCTCCTGCCTTGGCTGCATCTCTGCAGGAAGCAGGAAGGGCAGGAGAGAGCTAGCTAGCCCAGCTATGCTGACTCAGGAATTCTGGGAGTTGAAGTCTATGAGTCATAAAAGAGCCAAGGCTGCCTACCCCTGAGCTAGCCCAATAAGAATGTGTCTCAGCTTCTTGGAGAACAGCTTGAAGCCAGCTTACCAGGTGAGCAGAAGATCGGAGAGAGGGAGAGGGGGGAGAGAGAGAGAGAGAGAGAGAGAGAGAGAGAGAGAGAAACACACACACACACACTGAGTGGGGGAAGAGGACTGGCAGACCAAGGGCAGAAAGAGAGAGGGGGGAGGGAGGAAGGGAGGGAGAGAGAGAGACAGAGAGAGACCCTTTTGACATCTAAAATGAAGATAACACTGCATATATCCTTTTCACCTTTACACTCTATACACACACACACAAACACACACACACCTATAATAAAGGTAAAAAAGGATATATGCACTGTTATCTTCATTTTAGATATCAAAGGGGTTTTGCGGCTCCCAGTGTTTTATTTTTGGTGGGAAACGGGTCCAAGGGGCTCTTTGAGTGTTTTGGGTTGCCTACCCCTGATATAGTAAAAAAAAAGTACCCATATTTTGTACAATGGTTATTAAACCATGTCAACAGTTCATTACAACAGAGTAGTTTTGTTGGCAGTACTTCAAACTTTGATTTAGTATTTATTTTACTTTTATATAAAACTGACACATTATTTCTTTTGTTTTACAGCTGGTCCATGTCAGTATTGGGATATCTAACTAGTAATAGCTGGCTTAGTCTTAAGGGAATTCATTTTACGAATCCTTTTCAAGTTTTTAAAATAAGTCTGGTTAACATTATTACAGGTTAGGATCTATCTTATTCCTAAGAACAAATTTATTCTTAGAAATAAAATACCTAGCTATTTGAGAAAATAGATAGTGAGCAATAGTTAAGCTAGCATGAATTATCTAGTGAAGGAAGATTGTAAACCCAATCTTTCCAACCTACTGCCTTTCAAGGGTGTTTGGCTTCAACTCTCACCCTAAATTATTAGCGATTAATGCTAAATTAATACATATTCCATAATTTCATATTGTCTGGACAGTATTGGACGATACTAGAAGAAGATTTCTGTAAATCAGTTCTAATTGTATATGAAATTAACACAAGACCTGGGTGTTCAGGAAGATCTGGAATAGTTCATTCCAAATGAGAGAAGATCAATTAAAAAATCAGCAACACGTTTTGCCATTACCAATGACTCTGAGTTTCTCTTTTCACTCATTCTACTATACCTAAATGGAATTTTGCTTTGCTTTTTTCTGTTTTGAATTAGTGCTGTATTTATGTGGCCTTGCAGCTTCATTGGATAGCCCAAAGTTGTCAGGATATTTTATCTTGAATCACAAATGACCTGCTCACTATTTTAGTTGTGATTTTACAGATATATATGTAGATATCTAGAAAGAATTCAAATTCCGTGAATCCAATCTTGAAGTTTTAGTTTGATACTGCAAAACTAACCAGTGAAATTAACAAATATATCTTTTGATTTTTTTTTCTCTTTTTCTTCCCACAAGGAACTACTAATCTTTTTACAGAATTTGCCTACGATGCATTGGGGAAATGAAGATATCAGTGTTCTCCTTGCTGAAGCCTACAGACTGAAGTTTGCATTTGCAGATGCACCGAACCATTACAAGAGATAAAAAGAAATTACGAAGTGTGGCTCTGATTGTGACACCAAATCAGTTTCTATATTGTGGTTGTGCTGGAACACAGTTGTCAACTGTTGAGCAAGAAGCTATTGGATTACCAAAGAAATGAGAGTACAGGCTTGGGGAAAACGTTGTGTACTTAAAAAGAAATATTCTTGTTCACCGATTAAAAAAAATAAATTTTATTTTCATTATGGTCCCTTTTTTCTTTGGTAATTGAGTTACTCTGCAAATGTGTTATGTTCATTGGGATCTAATGACTGATTATGTTGTCTCCATCAGTTTTATTCCTAGTCAATTATGTTCAACATTTTGATGGAAGTATTTTTGGTGTCTGAGGTGCATGCAAGCTAACAAGAATAATCAGTCTTGCATTGAAAATGAGTACAAATAAATTAGGCAAAAAGGTCATATAGAGGTTGTTGCACACTTATTTTGTTCACAAACACAGGATATTTAACTTCTTTTAATAGAAATGTTGTTTACACAATGAAACCCAGGAGTAGATTTTTATGGAACACAATATTTAAAACTTGAAAATAGTGCCACATGCATGGTGAAATAAGATCCTCAGATGTTTTACTCAGCAGTGTGCAGATAATGTTTACTATGTTATTTGATGTTAGAGTTTCCAAAATATATTGACTATAGAATAGGAAATAAGTTTGGCTTGCCATAATGTATTATTAAGTTAATGGTTTTAAACCTTTTTGAGCATGTAGATCTTTTAGTTTCAATATTTTCCTAGATAAAATCTTACTTTATAGATGAAGAATATATTTTGATGTGCTAATTGCCTTATTTTGAATTTATGATATGATAGGGCACTTGACAATGTGATTTGGTATGAGTATGGGTATACTTCAGAATATAAGCATGGAGTTGCAGTGTGTTGGTCAGGGTTAGAAAACTGCACTGATTAAGTCTTTTCAAATCTACTCTCTTGCATCCATCATGCAGAGTTCTTGATTAATTAAGACTCAATTTATATTAAAAAATGTATGTTTAGCAGCAACTTATCGAAGGAATTCAGTGAAAGGACTTTATTAGTAATATAAATGATTTGGCTTTCTAAAATATTCACCAACCATTTTTTGAAGAGTCCAGTTTAACAGACTCAAGCAGTTAATGTTTCCACTACATTTTTTAAGCAAAAGGTGATTTATTCTTTTAAGACTATCTTATCTCACATACAGTTGACCAAGCCAAGTGTTCTTGATTTTCATATAGAGTAAAGGTTGTTGCAAAAGTACCAATGATACCAGTATGCTTCTACTAAATATGATCTATGAAAACCTCTTTATCACTCATATCTTCACTAAGTCCTGAATCAATCCAAACTATAAATGGAGTAACATAATATTAGAAGCTCTTCAAGTGTGCCTTTAAGTCTTTATTTGAATGCCTTAGTGTGGTTGTATACAGTATGTTGACTTCCTTTCTGTATGTATAGATGCCAAAATACATGATAATTACAGGAAATAGAACTATTTTTCTGGCCTTTCATAGGCTGCAAAGATGTTTCAAAGTTTCTTGTTTAAAGATATTTTGTTCAGTAGAGTATTTGCCATATTCTCTTTCTGACATTGTTTAACTATGCATTTGGATTGTATTGGGCTACGTGATTGTGAAACATACTCCAGTTCCATTTGAATTCCTCATTTTCAAATGCATGCTTTTTAATAGCTTTATTGAACAAAGCAGAGTAGTTCTGTTATTATTGTAACACAGAAGCACAGTCACAAAGAGGATATAATTATTGAGAACTTCCAGATCAGTACTGATCTGAGAGGGATACATTATTGAGGAGTTACGCCATCACTTTCTGTTAAAGTATCTGTTAATTCTAATCCTATCATCCATCTACTAATATACCATGCAGAGTCTGAGTCATTCACAGCCAATGTATTCCAATAGATTCTTGACTTTAATCATATAATGGAAATAACATTTAGGAAGGTTCTTAGCCACAAGGGTTAAGCGATTCTTAAACATAATGATACTTTAAAGTTCAGTGTATTATTATTTTTAAATTGTCAGATTATGTCAAATAAAATGTATAAAACTTTCCCCGCCCTCAAGAAAAAAACCCAGTTGAAATGCAATGAGAGTGAAAATTGTATGAATCATTACAAAAGAAAATAAGATATAGAGAACATGGATTTGTACTTTTTAAAATTGTATAATTTGCATAGGAATATCTCGTATGTAAAATGGGTCTGTTTTATTGTGTTAAATGTATTGGGAGAAATGAAAAAAATCTTTGTTAATTCCATTTGATATGACTTTCACGCTTTGTTAGGATCATTATTGCTTCCTCTTCAAAACTGAATAATATTTCATGCTGTGAACAAAAAACCATGAGTGCATCAGAAGCAAAGGATGCCTCTGTCCTCCAATGTTGTACAAAAATTGGGTATTTAAGACAGCTGATATCATTCTGGTCATCTGATATATTATCTGTGTACTTATTTTTTTTCCTTGAAATTGTGTCTTGATTTCTTTGTATAACTCAGGAAAAGTGCCATCCCAACCGGCTGTTATGTGGAAAAAATATTTCTGCTGCTTTTACATCCCTTTGTTAAAATTTTGAATTGCTATCTAATATCAATATTCTTCCATTTAAGATTTACTAACATAGAAAAGATATTGGAACAATTCAATAATTTAGCATGATTTGTAATGTTATATTGAAGGCTTAAAGCCTTCTTGTCATAAATGCAATATTAATTGTACAGTGAAGATAACCAATTTCTATCTATAGTATATGCTTAGTAGTGTAAATAAAAACAATGTACTAAATATGTAAATATGAAATATGAAAGATACAACTATCTTGCAATCGCCTGTACATCTCAAACATACTATAACAAACTAGTTGCACTAGTCTTTAATTTCATATGGAAAAGCCCATAGATTTGTATTACATCAATAAAATGTAATTAATACCCAAGATTTTGTATATATGTGTCTGTTGTATAATTTTTGGAATTCATAATAGCATATAATTTCAAATGAATAAATCTTTTTATGTCACGATATGTAGGTATAACAGGAAATCCTAAAAGATTTTGAAATTATTTTAATGGTAATGATTGTATGATGAATGCTAAAAAAATAAATGTGTATGCTGCCAAGTACACAAATATTACTAGGAGAGAGAGAGAAAGAAAGAAAGAGAGAGGGGGGGGTTTGCAAATAAAGCAACAGACATTATGGTAAAATTTTAGTACTGACATCAAATATTGACCTTGTGCTTTTCATTTTTGCTCAGAGTTTTAAGATATTAAGGCAATGTAATCTATTTTTAAAAAGCATATTTAATGAAATATAACCACTCTTACACGTGTTTGCTCTTTTACATAACTATTTTTGTCACACAAGGCTTTTAAGAATTAAAAAGTAGGTCTTGGATAGCTGAAGGGGAAAAATATAGCTTTTATGTTGAATATTGCAAAAATGAGATGATAATACTGATTCATTCTAGGTGAGAGAATAGGATTTTGTATTTTAAGTTTTAAATTGTGTTTTTACTTGAATTCTACCCAATTCCTTTCTCGCCCAGCTTTTTTATTTAGTAACCTTCCTAATAATAGCGGAACAGATTATACTACCTGTTCTGTAAAGATCCTTTTCATTTATGTAGGGATTTTTGCTTTAAATGCCCTTAAAAAAAAAAAAAAACCCAAGACTGTGGCAAAACATATGTGCAAAAGGATCTGTTTTCCTTTGATTGTCTTACCATTGCAATCACTTTGCAACTAGTGATTCATATCATACTTGAAGAAAAAAAAAATTTGGGGTGGGGTTTTCTTACTAAAGTACTGCAGACTTTCTCTGCTAGAAGAACATTTTATAGAAATCATAATAAATTAATCCAGCTTTGCATGGAGCCCTGCAGAGAAAAATCAAAGGAGATATATAGGTTTATCAAATTCTAAGGAGAAAATAATAGCATTAATCATTTACTTGACTTTCATCAAGCATATGATTTATTATTTCACTTTATAAACCTTGTTTATTAAGAATTGGTGTACAGATAGCACATATCTCTACGGCTAAGATAATGATAGTAGTCTTTCAATTTCAAATTATCTTGTGCCCATTAACCAGCAGGGTCACATCAAGGAGGTCTGTAGAAAGTGTGGATTTATGGAAGAAGGATTATTCTGGAAAACGAGCTTTTTTATTGTGTGTGATGGTTAAAGGAATATCTGAGAAGCTTATTCTGATATATGTATTTCATCTAGGTGTTTATGGTTTTAATATATATCTTCTGGGATTTTTAACGTCTTTTGGAATATCACCAAACAAAGAAAAAAGATGAACTGGAACAAAACAACCCAACGTAACATCCATATTGCGACTGCCACTGAGAAGTATAAAACGATCTAGCAAGAAACTCAAATTTCCTGGTCCAAAAGCAAACAAAAAATCATGACAGAGTAGCAATTTTAATGTTGAGCCTGAAATTGGACACATCTCGACCCTCATCCAGTCCAAAGCTTTTTTTTTTTTGGGGGCTGGCTTTAAATCATCAAAATGAAAAACAAGAACTGCTAATATCACACTTTGGAGATACTTGTTTAACTGTGATTTATTGAGGTGCAGGTGGCCAGATTCAATTCAACATGCTAAGCCAATAAGCCACAGTTGGATACATATAACACTACCAAAATTAAGAGAAGTGAACGGTCCACTAATGCTCATATCCATAACATTCTTTTCAATTCCATAGTGATTTTATATTTTATTTGGAGTTAAAAAAATCTGCAAGTTTTATGCCCTCTTTCTGTGGAGCAATATTCCAGGTACCCTTTGTCCCTTTGGGGCCTGGTATTTTTTTTATTTGTAATGTTCAGAAAGGCAGAGCACAAGGATGCATTAACATATGCTCCAGAGAGAGTCTGCAATAATTCTGAATGGCATCTCTCCATTTCTTTCCAGTTTTGGTCATTCCTCAGGCTCCTTGCTGTGGCCTGATCATAAGAAGAGAGAAATTGCGATGGCTAGAAGATAATTACCCCTCCTGTCTCCCCTTTGGGCATCCCTGGGATTCTATTGATGAAACTTGCTAACAATGAAGTTGTATTTTATGCTTGGCAACTTTCAGCACTCTGGACAGAAACCAAGAGATGTGAAAGTCAGGAAAATCTGCCAATGCATCATGTGCGCCTGCTACACTGAATAATTAAAACAATTTAATTTGAACGGCTTCCATTTGCCTTTTCTGGCTTTAATGTCTCATATTAAGAGATTGCACCAGACAATGAAACCAAAAATGGATTTTGCTGATTTTCAAGTCCATTTGCATTAACTAGTTCCACTTTTAAAAGTCGGACAGCTTTAAGACATTGGATTTCTTAAAGATCATTGTAAGATGCAGCTATCATACTTCTTCCTGGGAATGTAGTACAATGCAGCATGTCTAATTCAAGGCATTTTTTTTCCTATTATCAACAAATAATTTTTAGCCCTTTTGATTGGAAAATCTATTATTTATTACACTGTTTAAAAAATAATCAGAAAACTGTTGACTTCCGGTGGTTGAAGCGGTGGAGATGGCGGCTACTTTGTAGCCGTCCTCCTGAGAAGGTGTCAGATCCGCGGAGCACAGCGTTTACCAGCTGGCCCGCGGCTCGCAATCCCCTTCCCGGGCGAAGGGAAGGGGTAGAGATTGCATGAATAGAGGTAGAACCTCTTAACTCTCCCTGGATTTTTATTTTTAGGGGGAGAAAGAGGTTCCCTCGGAGTTCATTGCTTCTCCGCCTCTCAGCTGTCTTTGTTTCTTCAGAAACAAAGCGAGACGCCGCTACCATCTCCGAATATAAAGAAACCGTGAGTAATCTTAAACCGGACAGAACTGTTTAAAGGATTTTATTTATAGTTTAGTTTTATTTTATTTTTTTTTTCTAGTTTATTTAGTTTATTTAGTTTGTGCTGATTTTTTTTTATTTTTTCGAGCTTTCTTTTTTTTTTGGGCGGAAAAGTGAGAGTGAAAGCAAAATGGCGTTTTGAAACTTTTTTTTTTCTTTAGAAGACGGTTCGGCTGAATTGTTGTTTAATATTGCTTTTTTTTTACTTTATTCTATTTTATTTTATTTTTAATTTTTTCTTGGACTACTTATTTTTATTGGTACTTTTAAGAAGAAAGGAAGATAAATTAAAATGGCTTCAAAACGACAACCAGCTACTGCAGCCTCTAAAGTAACTTCTTCTCCTGCTACTTCTACTGTGCAGCAACAACTTAAAATAATACCTTCAGTGCAGCAACCTAAATCTACTCCACCTTCACCTCCCCCATCTGGCACATCAGCACAAGACATTAAAGAAATAATGGTAAGTGCTGTTTCACAGTTTAGGGAGGAAATGAAACAACTTTTGGATCAGAATAAATCTGAAACTAAGGAGGAAATGAAGAAAGAGATGAAGGAGCTTTTAGAACAGAATAATGCTATTTTGAGGGATGATATACTTTTAGCTTTATCTGGAATGGCCTCAGTGGTCGTGAAGCTGGACTCCAGAGTAGAGGAAATTGAAGAAACAGTTGAACTTCTGGATTATAAATTTCAAGATATGGAGAAAAAAGTGGAGGCTTCACAAGATGATATTCTTATGTTCCAGTACAGACAGATGGAATATGCTCTGAGAATAAGGGGTCTGAAAGAAGATAAAACTCAAGATTTGATGGAAATGGTGATTAATGACTTGGCTGTTATTTTGAATATTGATAAAGAAGAGTTACGTGGGGATGTGGAAAGAATTTATAGAGTCAACTCCTGGGTTGCAAAACAGAGGGATCTGCCTAGAGATGTGGTGATATATTTTGCTAAGAAGTCTTTGCGAAATCAGATTCTACAAACTTTTTATAATAAAAGATTTCAGATTGCTGCCCAAGATATTATTATTTTAAAGGAAATTCCACCTAAAATTTTAAGAAGCAGAAAAGATTTTGCTTTTTTAGTAAATGAACTTAAAGCAAGACAAATGCCATTTAGATGGGAGATTCCGATGGGCATTGTTTTGAGCCATGCGGGGACACGTTATAGACTCAACACAGTTGCTAAAGCTAAGGAATTCTATAAAACGGTCCTGGGAGCAGGCTCTCCTTTGCCCATGATGCAGAAAGTTTTGAGTGATAAAGAGGTGGAACAGAAATCTGAAGCTACAGGGATGATGACTGCTGGACAGGTGGCATGGATGTCTCAATCAGAGATTAAAGAACAGAGAATGACCCGTGCAGCACATAAACGTAAAGAAAAAGAACAACAGAAAAAAGAAAAGGAAAAAGAAATTGGAGAATCTACTCAGCAAATTGTTTCAGTGCCGGTGGGAGGAGCAAGATCCAAAAGCTCTGCTACATATTCATCAGCAGCAGAATTTGAGCGGATTTTCTCCAGGCTGAAGGCCAAGGGAGATGGCAAAGCTCCTGTCCTGGAATATTAATGGATTAAACACTCCTCAAAAGAGAAAAAAAATTTACCACTATTTGAAACAACATAACAATGACATCATTTGCTTGCAAGAAACTCATATTACAGCTAAAGACCAAAAATATTTAAATAATCCTCGCTTGGGATCTCATTTTGTATCTCCCGCCCCTGGGAAGAAAGGGGGTGTGGTAATCTACGTTAAACAGAATTTATCTGCTACCCTGTTAGAATCAGATCCTTACGGAAGATATGTTATGCTTGAACTTGGTTTATATGGTAAGAAAATCCTTATTGTGGGGTTGTATGCACCAAACCAGCAACAGGAGCAATTTTACAGGTTACTACATCAGAAAATAACTTTGTTGGATTATAGATCTGTGATTTTAATGGGAGACTGGAATGGTGTCTTAGACACACAAATGGATAAAAAAGGCTCTTCTACCTTTTTTAAACAGGCTAAACTACCTAAAGCCTTCTTCGATATGAAAGAAGATTGGGAATTGAGAGACTATTGGCGTGA